AGCTAAAACAGCTGAGGTTTTCAGTAAAACAGCTAAAAAGTAGCTAAAACGTTTTGAGTAGCATAAAGAAGCATAAGTAATACAAGTTTGTTGAACTTAGCAGAAATAAGTTATAACTGCTACAAATATTATTTAATCAGCTTTAAAAAAAAGCTAACTTTAGCTAATGCCAGCCGAACATTAGGTAAAATTGCAGCAAAAAAGCTGAATATTTCAGAAAGCAACTTGAAGTGTGGGATCATTTTAAGAAAATGAAAGAGAAACCTGTGTAATATCTGCAGAGCAGAACTTACCTTCCACAGCTATTATTTTTAGTTAGCATGTAGCTAAAATCTAACCATGGTTATATAATAACAGCTGCATTCTGCTCTGTTTTATATTCAATTAACGTTTGATCTGATTAGTCGACTAATCGAATAAATAATCGGTGATTAATCGATTATTAAAATAACCGTTTGTGGCAGCTCTACTGGTTAGTGAATTCGCAGGAACACCTSAAGTGAGAGGACGCCTCAGCATTTATGTTTATTCAAACTATAAAAAACTAATACTAAACTAATAAAAACTAAACTAAACTAAAAATAAGCATTAAAAAAGCAATAATAACTAATAAAAATGATCAAATCCACGGTACAAACTAATGAAAACTGAAATAAAACTAAACTAAATGAGAAATATAAAACTCTTATAACCTGGGTGAAAACACCGGAGCACACGGAGGCGTCTCTGACACGGATGCCGCACTCCGTCAGGTCCGACTCGTAGAAGATCAGGTTTCCTTCCTGCAGCTCATCAAACGCCAGCCTCCCCAGAGACCTGATCATGGTCCTGGTCTCTGGACTCCAGTCTGGACCCGTCTCGTCTCCGTCGTACTTGACCTTCTTGACTTTGGTCTGAAGCAGCAGGAAGTGGACGTACATCTCAGTCAGGGTCTTGGGCAGGTCGGCTCCCCCTCCGGTCTTCAGGACCTGGTCCAGAACCGAGGCGGTGATCCAGCAGAAGACCGGGATGTGGCACATGATGTGGAGGCTCGGCGAGGTCCTGATGTGGGAGATGATCCTGCGGGCCTGCTCCTCGTCCCTGAACCTCCTCCTGAAGTACTGGTCCTTCTGCGGGTCGGTGAAGCCTCGGACCTCGGTCACCATGGTGACGCACTCAGCAGGGATCTGATTGGCCGCYGCGGGCCGTGAGGTCACCCAGAGGYGAGCGCAGGGCAGCAGGTTCCCCCTGATCAGGTTGGTCAGCAGAACGTCCACCGAGGCAGACTCCGTGACCTCGGTCAGGACCCGGTTCCCGTGGAAGTCCAGAGGGAGCCTGCACTCATCCAGACCATCGAAGATGAACAGAACCTGGACCTCCTGGAACCAGAACCTTCCTCTGGTCTCGCTGAAGAAGTGATGAAGCAGCTCCACCAAACTGAACTCCCTCTCCTTCAGGACGTTCAGCTCTCTGAAGGACAACGGGAACAGGAAGTGGACGTCCCGGTTGGTTCTGTCTGAGGCCCAGTCCAAAGTGAACTTCTGGGTCAGGACCGTTTTCCCCACGCCGGCCACGCCCTTCGTCATCACGGTTCTGACCRGCCCGTCTCTCCCAGGGAGGACTTTGAAGAGGTCTTCCTGTCTGACGGTCCTCTCCGGTCCGTTTGGGTTCCTGGAGGACGCTTCCATCAGCTGCAGCTCGTGGACCTGGGCGGTCCCTCCTGTTGTGATGTAGAGCTCCGTGTAGATCTGGTCCAGGGGGGTCCGGTTTTCCGCCTCGGTGGTCCCCTCAGACACCCAGCAGAACCTCTTTCTCAGAGAAGCTTTGAGCTCACGTTGATCCGATGCAACAGAACTTTCTGAGGAAACCAGCAAACATTTCACCACCATCGATGCTGTTATCTTGTCAATCAACTTTTCATCATCCAGCTCCTCGTCTTCCTCCCTCCAGCTCCTCAAACATCTGGACAAACCTGGATCCCAAATCTGCTGCGGTTCTTCTCTGTGGAGACATGAAACAGCTGAGTCCATCAGTCTGTAGAGAGTTCTGATCCAAACGTGTTGGTATCTAAATAAAGTTTCTTCTTTCAAACTCTGAAAACACCTCTGTCTACAACATCTGCCTGTTTCAGCTGCTTTTCTTCTCCGTCTGTTTGGGTCGTTCAGAAATCCTCTGAAAACGTGAAACAAAACTTACATTTTTCCACCAGGTGAGGACGGATCTTTAAAGAAAATAATGACCTCCTTCGACTCGTTGCTCTTCAACGACAAGCAGCTCGGGTCAGGAGGGTTCAGGTTCTGCAGATGAATCCTGGAGGTAAAAAACAAACGAGATGTTAGAGTGAGCAGAGAATGATGGTACCAGGTCCATCTGACCCGGAGGGAGGGAGGAAGGAAGGAAGGATGGATGGATGTAGGATGGATGGATGGATGTTGGATGGATGGATGGATGATGGATGTTGGATGGATGGATGGATGTTGGATGGATGGATGGATGATGGATGTTGGATGGATGGATGGA